GACATGCATAATAGGTGGGAGTAGCGCGGTAGGCGAGCGCGCGGCGGCGCGATCATTTGTCTCTTTCATTTTTTGAGTACCTACCAAAACAAAATACGCGCGGCTGCCGAGTGCGCTACGCACGAAAAATACCTACCTACTGTAAATTATAGCAATAATATGCATCATCACTAGATATTAGTAAAAATATGCTATTAGCCTTGAAAATCGCTTAAATATGCAAATGCATATGCAAATATGCAAATGCATATTATCCGGTCTCTATACATTACCATAATATTTCACATTTCATAAAATTTTCAACCTTACCATTTTGTAATGAAGTCGAAATTCAGTTAAAGAAAGGACTTCTAATGTGAAATAATATTTAATAAATAATAATTGCTGCGCCCTAACAGGTATGTACTGAATTAGTGGTATGTAATACTTCTTATTGTATGTACATTGTGCAATATGAATAAATAAGTAAATAAATAATTTAAATGTGCGTTTGGTGTTATATTCAGAACTGAACGTACTGTGGCTGATATTATGAAAAATTCTACAGTTTGGGATGCTGGTACACATTGGCTACAACAAACCAGTTTATCGGGATCTCGCTTTGTATGATCTCTCCGTTCATTCGACGATCAGCTTATACTGGTATTGCATAACTTGATCTGTTACTGATTTACAGGAGCTGGTTCAGTCTATCTATTATGTTCGTAATAGATAAATAAATAAATTATGAATTCGTAGCTTTAGTAGTAGACATCGCATTATAAAATAGAGCTTCAGTTAAATTCTTTTTCAAAGAATCTTCCTCCTCACTATAACTTGAAGCTTCTACGATTCTCTTTAAATATGTGTTTGTAATTTTACTAACAAATTTAACATGCTTAGGCTCCGACTTTCTAAAATACTCGTCAAAAGGGTAGTAATAAACCTGTAATTTTTTTAAAAATAGTTTGCTTTGGGTGACACTGTCGTCGCTTTTTGTCAGCTTGATGAACTTTTCTTCTGTATCAAAATATTCTTTTTGTACGTAGACGTAAGGGAATGGTGTATTTACGTACAGTGGTGTGATTGTAATAGATTGATCTTTAGTTGGTCTGCGATGTAGATTCAATGTGTAATATTTTGTAGTTCTCTCACGGGTTGGTTTCAAAAACATAGAGACGTTACAAAATAGTATCTTTGAAAGATCACTTCTTTCGAAGATACTATTTTGTAACGTCTCTGTGTTTTTGTAATACTTCTCAACTTTAAGTATTCATTATCGTTATTCTCCTTTTGTCGTCTATTTAACTTGTGTCTATTTCAATTTCTTGCCTCTTTTCTTAAGTTGTGTCCTCGAATTTTTCGCTGTTTACGTTTTAAACGAATTTTTCTCCTAAATTCGCTATCCGAGTCTGAAGTATACATCATTCGTTGGACGTTAAGTTCGTTCGGAATTTCGGCCAATGCTGCGTCTCTTTTGCTAAGAAAATGATTTGAGAAAAATTTTTGTATTTATACCATCTGTTGGATTATTTAGGAACTATTTTCAAAAGTGCTCACCTTTTATTCCGTACTTTAAATCCTTCTCTTTAACAGTTTTCACTGAGATTTGTGGAAATCTTTCCTTTATTGCTTTATTGATAGAGTCTAATAATATTTGTCGTCGTTTCGTGCCATGAAGGCGACGAAATGGCCTTAGGAAGTTTTCAATCAGAGTGGAGCACACTAAGTAACCAGATTTCGATACTGAAAACATGAAAAACTAATACTAAACCGAATTGAAAGGTAACAAATGGCTTCCCTAATGATTGTACTTACTCTCAGGATATGCCTCGAATTCTCTCAGGGAATTGAACAGGTAGTCTCCCTCTTTATCCTCGTACATAAGTTCTGCATAATCTATGATTGAATTCACTTCGACGGAGAGTGCTGTCTTCCTCACACGTAGCATGTGGTACATCATGGCTGCGTAAGCTGGTGGAAGGCGAGGATCCATTAATATTAGATCCTTACAGAAAACTGGCGTAAATACTTGCAAGTTTTTCGTCGTATGAGTGAGGTTACTGGAGGCCCAATTACTATTCTCCCTAATTTTTCCAATCTCCGAATCCTTATTCTACAATTTTTAACCTTTACAATGTCTTTAATGCATTTCTAACATCTTTGGTGTTTGGGTTGTCGATGTGTGGCTCCGATTGCTTACCATCAGGTGGTCCGTCTGCTCGTTTGCCGGCCGATCCCGTAAAGAAAATAAAATGATGATGAAGCTTAGCTGCTATATGCAAACATTGAAGTGTCGACTCGCCTAGGATGACCGCTTACCATCGGGCAATAGCTTTATTGCTAAGAATGTTCAAAAAATGCTCAAAAATTAAAACCTGGCTGGCAAAAACATTGAGGAGTTAGTGCAAAAATGTTTATCGCTAATGTCGTCACGTTTATGACGTCCAGCGCTCTAATTGGCGATCCCAAGTTAACCAACTAATCAGAGGGCTAAACGCAGTAACGTTTCGATAACAAAACCTTACACTAGTCACTCAGAAGTATGTTAACTTACTTCTTACAAGATCGATTGGTGCTTCGGATATAAATCTTGACAGCTTTATAGTGACATCTAATAACGGGCTGTCTAACCAGGCCAACCGACCATTCCCTTGTAGCCTGCAAAAAATTACCACTGTCAAAGTCTTCAATACTCCCTTTTATAAGTAATCAAACGCATTAATCCAAATTATCAATATGGCGCTCTTTCCAGGCCATATCATAAATGTTAATTATCATCATTGGTACTAAATCAAGCCTTTTAAAATCATCCAGTAACTTCACTCGTCCGAGGGGGGGGGGGGAGAGGAAGTGTCAGACTCTTATTGAATAAAAACCAACCCGTTCCTACTTCTGTACTTAGAGGCGAAGCTCCGGCAACCCATTAAGTTTCGGTATTAGCCCTATTGGGCCCCATTTGTAGTGATACGATCGCTCTTTGGGGCGTGCGTGGAATGCGACCCGATGCACGCTCGGGTCTGGTTCTGGTCACCCGTGCTCACCGTCCCCTGTTTACGGTGGCCGGAGAACTCATCCTTTTTTTTGTTTTTGAGCTGGGAACGTCATCAATGACTTCTCCCGACCCGGAGCCCCGGCCACCCGTTAGGCCTTGCGCGGCTCCGTATCGGACATCAACCCTACTGGGCCCCATTTTTGGTGGTCTGATTGCTCTATGGCGCGCGCGCAACGCGACACGTTGTACGCACGGGAACTCAACCTAGCTGGAGAGTGTTTTGGGTAGAGAGGTAGAGCGTTTGACTGTGAGAATCTCAGATCGGGCCTATCATTCTATCAGATAAGTAGTGTATAAAGAGGTTATATTTAAAAATTACTCATTGATTATAGTTTCCGTATGTATAATGACATCCTTAACATGTTTCTGATCTTTTGTAGAAATTATTCTACAAAGTTCTATTAAGAATATGATCATATATCCTTCATCCAGTTCCTTCATCATCTCGTAGTAACGATGATTCGGAGGCTTGGTCGATGGAGTAAGAATTGAACCTATAAGAGATAATAATATTGAAAACCTCGCTAACATCAGGTGAGTCGATTACATGTGAATATTAGCTCATGACGATACCTAAGTACGTGTGTCGTTGACAAGTCAACTTCGCTGCCATCACTTGATTGGACAATACTACACTACACGGAGAACATTTTAGTTGTAACAAACTTACCTAGTTTTTATAATAACTATCGTGAGACATACTAAATTAACTAAAAATATAATCAGTAGGCTGCGCGACATCACGACGACCGCGCACGTTGCTCATGAGGAAGAACCACTCTGTGGTTCGAAACTAGTAGAGCTTTTCTCAGTATATTTACGTGAGTAACCCGCGAATTTTAGTTAAACTTACCTGGTGTTGTACCTTCTAGAGGATCTACAGGTAGATAGACAGGTCTACCATCAATTATTGTCGATTTAAAAGTACTAAATTCGTAATTTTCAGTTGTCTCATTATAAAGATGTCCGTAAAAATTTTTAATAGTAGGGTTATGTTGTTTTGTGGATGGGTACATTGGGTTCTTCTTTACTTTTCTGATATGTTTATGTCTTATTTTTTTGTTGAGTGAATGCCTCTGTCTGTGCAGTCTAGGACGTCGTGTGAGGTTGTATCCGTGGTGTATTATTGGTTTATTTTGTACAAGTTTTTGGTACCATCGTGGTGTTATCTGTTGCGTTGCTAGAAACAATGTTTGGTTAGTGGATTTGAAGTACACCAATAGTCAGGAACCTACATTTTCGTAAAACTGCCTTATTGGCCGAGTGGTTGCAAGTGATTATCGGGTACGAGGTCGCGGGTTTGATTCCCGAAAGGGGCAAAGTATTAATGGGTATAAAAAAATTTCAGTAGCAGCATGGAGTCTGGAATTGTGTCTGATATAATATGGCAATACGCCTATTGTTTGGGACTCATAATATATCATCATATTATTTGGTTTAGCAGGCTATTGGCAAATGTCGGTCGCTTTACATAAAAGACTAACATACAGAAAAAGTTCTATAACAATGGTAATAAAACTCTTACTTGTAAAATCATTTTCTTTCCTAGTCCATCTGTTAGAAGACATAAAATTGGTCATCTCTTGCTGCCACAAGCTATAAAACTTATTTGTAGTTTTGTAAGACCACGACCTAAGAGGACCGATGTTGGACTCAAGAGGAGAAGATTTATGATAGAGATATATAGATAGAGGATATGAAAAAGCTGACTTTTCAAGTATTGATAGAGGAGTTGGAGAGGAAGATGTTTTAGGTGATGATGAGGTTGTAGTGACTTCATAGATTACTGTAGAAGTAGATGCAAATGCATGTAATCTTTGATATATGGAAAGGTCCGGTATGAATGTAATAATATTGCGGAAGGATTTTCGTCCAATGCTATATGTGCTCATAGATGATGAAGTACTTTTCATTGAGGTAGAACTATCAACTTCTTCTCTTAAATTATATATCTGATTAAATTTCACTACGGCTAGTTTGTTAGAAGTAATATTTGGTGAATTTTCTTTAGTAGGAGCTAATGTCGATGGACGAGTGGACTTAGTTTTTGAAGTAGTAAAAATAGATGTTAACCTTGGGTTAGTTGCAACAGTTCTAGAAGTTTGTTTGCTTTGTTTGCTAGGAGAGATAACTGAACGAGAAGTATATTGTTCAGGCACTCGATGTGTTGAAAATGTGATTTTTTGAAATATTTTATCAAAGAAATTTCTTGGAATCCTAGGAGATGTAAACGTAGAAACATGGCTGACCTGTTTAGGCTTTAATGTAACAGAACTAGGTTTAGTTGTAGAATTTACTTTTGTTGTAGTTTTAGGTGTAGAGACAGGCGTGGCAGAAGTACGTATAACATTTTCAGTTATTACAGGAATCGGGAACAAAGGTTTGCTGACGTAATTTGGAAATTTATGAAGTTTTAAAGTACTTTTAGTGGGAATAGATTTAGTCGCGAATGATCTAGCTCGAAGGTTCGGTGCTTTTGGATCTTTCACTCCTTTGTCATTTCTCTCTGTTTCTTTCTCTTCCTTACTCCTTAATGGTTTTTTATTTTTGTGTATCAATATTTTTAGGTCTCTGAAGAAAGCGTTCACTATCTTCATCCTTTCCTGGTGTTTTTCCATTAGTTCTGTCTCGTTGAAGTTATCTAAAAGGGGGTTTTTGCGTTTTAATACTTTTACAAAAAGTTTGGTGCCTCAAAAAGTGTTCAGAGTAGCTGAATTAGAATGTGATATTTCTAAGTAATATACAGGATACTGTGTGACTACGTTGCTTCAGAAATTAGAAAGGTAACAGAATATTGTATAATCTGTGTTTGTCAAAAAATATGGAATAGGTTAAAAAACAGAATGAATTAGTACGGTACCTGTTTTGTTAAGGTCATCACTATTAACTAGACTATAGTGTAAGAATAAAGCTAACAATAATATTAGCCTAGTAGTCTCCATGTTTATGAACCCTTCTTATATCTTTGTTTGGTCATCTGGACTTAGGAACATAATATTTAAAAATTCGTTTAAGTTCCACAAGAAATTTAACACTGAGTATAATCTTTATTTGAAATTGTTTCTTAGTAGTCGATGAAGCGCACAAAAATATAGTGCTTATTTATATTAATTTTATGCCATTTAATGTTAATACAGACACTTTTTGTCGATTCAAAAATTAATGCGTAATCGCACGAGTCATGACTGGTTTCATTTTTTAACCCGTTGAAAATGTTATTAAGTATTAGATTTTCATAAAAGAGAACACAAAACAAGAAATTCTTGAAACTTTGAACGCTGAGTTTAAAATCAGTAACGATTCCAATGTTTATTGTCAATAAAATAGTTGTAATTTTATTGGATTACAAATATAAAAATACTTGCTCACGCAATGTATTTACGATACAATAAAATGTTAGTATTTTTATATTAAAATGAAAATGTTTGCTTGTGTTTTGCTGGTCACCATATTCGGTATTTATTTTATTCATATTAAATTTTACATTTCATTCAGTTTCACAGGAATATCACTTGTTTAATACAATTTTATTGTATAGCATCATTGATATATTTTTCGGTTAGTTGCTTCGATATTCTTAAATCTAAAACTCAAATTTGACATCTGTAAAGAGAAGTGATTGTATTGGATCCCCTTCACGTCTGCAATTTCACAACAACACATTTTGGTAACGAGAATGAAAGGCGAACGGATATAGATTCTGTGAAGTCAAAATTAAAATTCTTCTAACTTTATCACATTCTCTTAAGTAGATGTGTCAAGAAAATTACGTTGAGTCTTCGATATAAAACTCATGGAAGGAAATCTTCTACTAAAGTTGGGCTATTACAAACGTGTAAACTGACACGTCAAAAGAATGTGACAATGCCGCACAACTTGCATAAGTGTGAGCGAGAGATCGATACAAATGTCTTATGATATTTCACACGTTTGTAATAGCCCAACTATTACGTCCATCATCCATGGCGTTTAAACTGCCAGAATTCCAACCCGGTTAAAATTAAAATGAACGAATAATTTATTCAAATTTTATATAACAATTCTCATATTCCAGCTCATACAAACACACTGCCACAGCAACCTGAGGATCCAGACAAAAATGTCAATCTGGCTTTAGAAACTGTTCTAGAGTTTTCTAATAAATACCAATCAGGCGAAGAAAAACTGCTAAACGTCGTTCAAAATTTTATCAACCGACTTAAAGATGAAATGCATCATGATAAATCAAATAACTCTGGAAAACATTCAAGGAGATCTTCAAGCGATAGCAAAGATGAACTAGAAATACTAGGCCTCAAAATCATCGATAGATTAAATTATTTAGAGAATCAAGTAGATGAAATAAAGCAAAACAACGCTCTGAAGGATTGTTCGACAAACGACAAAAACCAAACTGTAAATTGCTTCAGTAGAAGTAGTAGCGGAAGAGATATAAATGGCGACGGATTTGTCAAACTTGTCGAAGTCCAAAAAGGAAGTTTAAGGCAAAAGTATAACATTACAGATGACACGAGCGATATTGTTATTAAGAAATGCGATAAATGTAACGTTTCAAGGATATATAAAAAGATCTTAAAGACAAACGTGAGAGAAACGAATGAAGCTACATCATCGAATCATACGAATACGTTTATGACAACGTCTAATCTGAAATTATATCAGGAGGAATTGAATCCGCCTCATCATCATCACAACAGACCAAGAATGAATACAAAAACTAGCATATATCACACAACTGCAAAATCAAGTGATGAAGTCAAGTTAGACCAAATAATTGTAAGATTAAATAAAACGAAATTGTCATTGGATGAGAGACTAAGATCAGTTGATCTTACAACGATAGCAACAGAGGCTACGTCAACAGTAAATTTAACTCTAGCAACGAATGAAATTATTCGTAATTTTAGCAGAACCTTTCCTCTATCTGCTAGCGACGTCCCGATAGATGGTAGAAAGTTTAATGACAAAAATACAAGTTCTATTGGGGCATTGATAAAAGAATTAAAAGATAGGAAATTTGAAAGTCAAACTGCGAAAGACAAAGCAATATCTAATAAAGTTATGGATTTTTTTTCTCTTCCACGTAATCCTGTATTTCGTCCGTCCAATGTATGGTGATTTAGTTTCCATAAATAAAGAAATATCTTGATGAAATCAATAAAACTTCTTCGACTGTCCCAAATAAAATTTTAAAGAAAATAGAGTTATTTTTTCGAACAATTTTAATTATTTTTCTATTTCTTCTCTCTCCCTGAGTCCCACGTTGGACGCCAAAATGCCGAGTTAGTTTAATAACAGTTAAAAGGACCTTGAAGCTTGAAAATTTTTTTTATTTGATACTTACTGCTTTCGCGCTGTTACACTGGTTCTGTTCGGCTCCTATTGATTGTGGCTTGATGCTATATCGATTCTCGATAAATGTGCTATCCAAACAAAAATAATTTGTCAAATCGGGCCAGTAGTTGCTGAGATTAGCGCGTTAAAAAAACAAACACTTCAGCTTTATATAATAGTATAAAAAGTATAGTATAATGTTCTGTAGTCTTAGATTGCTTTGTTGGTTGTTGGAAGTGTAATTGAGCAACGGGTCTCAGGATCGCTACCCAGCTCAGTCAGTTAAGTAATTTAACGGTGTTTAGAACTGGACTAGATTTATGGCAATACACCGTTAAATTTGAATCGTTTTAATCCCTTGGAGGTTCGAACTGGTCCATGAAACACAATCGATTTGTAAAGATAAAATTAAAAAATAAAGTACTTTTTTTTTAATAACTCGAATCAATTCTCGCATGAGTGAATAAATAATGCGAACCGTTAGTAGGCAGCATTCCTATCAGTAACAACCTAACAACATTGACGCGGTCGCTGGTCAACGTGGACTCGCAAACATCAGTTGATCGAGTCAATAGCCGCCGTGTAGGTACCTACACTGCCTGACTGTCGACGATACGCAACGACCGACGACGACGTAGGTAACTATCTTGTGGCGCAACTTTTGGTTTCATATATTTTGCGAGTGTAATCTTATCATTTGCTAATTTATTTATTTTTTATGTTACACCGCAGTACAAGCTTGTAATGAGTAGTATTCTGTTAGTTAAACCACAGGTCCATGGGGTTAAAACGACTAAAATTTAACGGTGTATATGCATCCCCCTATTACATGGGACTCGTAGCATAACCGGTAAAAAGTGGGTGTTGCATTGTATTTGTGGACCTCTGAGTGTTGTTATGTTATTATTCGTCTTATGTAATTGTGGATTAAATTAGGTATAAATAATAAAAATGCTAGATTTGCTAAGAATGTGCTTGGTAGAACTGAAACTAATTAACATATTAAATTATTTAGAACCGGGGATACCCTGGCGAATCGTATGATAATACGATTCCACAATTAGTGCATAGATTGGATTCTCTGACTACTGCTGTAATATGTTTTTAGAATTCTGTCTCTAATTGTCATAAATATAAAAATATGCTTAGTAATATTGAACTATGGCAAAAAACGTTAAGCGCGCCATCTCTTAGTAGTTTCTGAAACTAAATATCTTCAATTTATCGAGGTAGATGTCGCTACGGTTAGCCGACGAAAATCAACTAAAAGTACGTCACTAATTAAATCTGCATTATCGACATCTCTAGCTGTCATGTTGTCGATGTCATCTGTCAAATGTGACAGATTAGAATAGTTTCCCGCGCAAAGAGTGATAACGCGTAGGGACATAGGATCGAAGCAAAAGTATCGATACTGTACTCAGGAGTAGAATCGATAAAAAAAGTTTCGTACTCATTAAAGTATCGAAACAAAAATATTGATAGGTACTTCAAGGTATCGAGTACTTTTTTTAGATCAAAATTTGTATACAACAAAGTTCAGTAAACAATGTCGGTATTACTTCAGTTCAGCAGGAAATAAAAAACAAATGGTATTGGTACACAAATATAGGACAATAATAAAAATAAAATAAAACAATTTGAAATGTAGGAAAAAGAAACAATATTAAGTTATTTTAGGTATATTAAATACTAGCAAAGTCCCATGGTTTCAACCGCATAGTATATTAAAGATTCCATTCCTCCACCATTCAATCACTTAAAAATAGAAGTTTGTTGAGCCTGTATAGAGATAAGCGGTTTTGGATTTTTGTGATGGTACTTCCTGTTTTAGAAAATAATCGTTCTGAAGGTACTGACGATACAGGATTAGACATACATTCTCGTGTCAATTTATATAATATTGGGTACATTTCTTTGGGAATTTAACTGTGAACGACCACACGGTAAGAATAAGTTCAATCGATCGAATTAAAAAGTTTTCAAGGAGTCAGCTAGATGGCACTGTTAAACTAAATTTTTCATTCGATACGATACCCGGGAAAAGTACTTATTAAGTAAAAGTATCGAATGCACAGTATCGAGTACAAAAGTATCGGTATCGAATGGAAATATACTCGATACCACAAAGCATCGATGCTTTTTTCGTATCCCTAAGAACGCGCGATTCTGGTGGGAAGTTTGAGTCAGTTTGACGAGCATCACGCTGTGTTCTTATAAGAATCCGTTATGAATACACTTTTCAGTATTCAAGTATTGAGATTTACTTAAAAGTTTCAGAAATGGTATAAGACTTACGTGCAGTGATAAGTGATTACATTAGTAAAGTTCGGCAGCTGTACAATTACGAAAGAGGATGTATTCTTAAGTTTTGCTTTTTGTGAAAGACAATCATCATTTTGTGCTCGGCCTATGAACACGATAAAACTTGCTTTTAGATGACTCTCAAAAACTTTAATCGCTAGCAAAGTTTTGTGAATGTGTGTTTTGTTGTGCTTATGAAGGACTTCCACTTTTTCTACTCAATGCATGCTTGGCTCAAATGCTTGAAACTGGTGATTGGTGAGCTTTTTCCATGTTGAACTTTTATCTATGCTTGAACTGAAATTGGACTCGATATAACTTGTTTATTTTGTAACAGTAAAGGGCTATTATAACATTAACTAATATCTAAAGAATGCTGCATCTTGTACATGATTGGTGGTGCTGGTTGTGACCTAATTTAGCTACATTGTATCTTAAATACAATTAATTTCATTAGTTTCATATTGTTAAGTGCAAAAGACAGTTACTTAACTACATCTATTAATTATTAATAACATTCTACCAAGTGCTATAATAGAACACTAATTTTCTAACACTGCTATATTGCTGAAGGATATTGATTAACAAGTGTTAAGACGGTCAGCGGGTACCCATAGACACAACTGATATTCACTAACAAATTAACATTTAATATCTGTAAGTGGTTGTGTATATTATTGCAAAATTAAAGTTCATGTGTTGGAAGAGTGTCGAAAGCACTCAGCAGCCACACAACATAAAAGTATTAGAATAGTTCAGCAAGTTCATTTGCTTGATTGTATTTACAAATAATTTTGTTGAAATTTGTTGTTTCCCTTAAAGCCAAATCCTAAACCTATAAAAACATTATGATTTTTCTTTAGTGGACCTTGCTGCACGTTCCAAAGTAGGTATAGATTCATGACATAACTGGCATAACATGGTTGTTGCTATTCAAGTTACTGGCAGATGAAACATCAACATCCTATTACTGGCCACTGCTGACCAAAGACCTCGTCTCCCGTGGAGAAGGATTAAGCATTAATCACCGCGGTTGATCAATGCGTGTTGGCGATTTCAAACTTATAGTTAAAAATTATATATTATTATAGCTACAAATCCTTCACCTTCCTTTATATCACAAAGATACAAAAGAGGAAGGCAATCATCTGAGGAGCAACTTAACTGCTTCAAAGACGATATCAAAATAATGCTGGACGAATGGAAAGACACTCAAAATACCCTCCTAAATAAGTTAATTACTGAAGTCACTGAAATAAAAAAACAAAATGCTGAAATTAAGCACACCAACGAAGAAATTGAAAAAAATTTACAATTTCTCAACCAAAAATACGATGATGTGCTAAAAAGGGTTGACTGTCTGGAAAGGGAACGTAAACAGCATTTGTCAAAGATCACTGAACTGGAATCCACAATTGAGGATATGCGAAGGTATACAAAATCGTCTTCTATAGAATTAAGAAATGTACCAATGTGCTCTGACAATGAAACTAAATCACATCTGATAAACCTTGTACAAAGTACTTGCAAAAAACTTAATGTGGTTGCACAGAAATCGGATGTAAGGGATGTCTCTCGAATCAATGGAAAGTCAGGAAAAAAGACAATAGTTGTCGACCTAAACTCAGTGCTGGTTAAGAACGAAATTATCCAGGGAATCAAAGCATATAAAAAACAGCATCCGAATAACCCACTCACAGCTGCTGACTTAGGAGTCCAGGGCCAACATACTCCAATTTATATCTCGGAAGCATTAACACCTAGGGGCCGACGTTTATTCTACTTAGCAAGAGACCTGGCCAAGACAAATCAATATAAATACTGCTGGACAAGCCTTGGAAAAATTTACTTGCGTAAGGAAGCAGAAGGACCACGTATTGAAGTTAAGGATGAACTACAATTAATTTCCCTAAGAAACGAGATGTGACTAGTTTTTGTTACATTCTTAATACTGTTCTATTTATATTTAATTGTTCTACTTATTAACATTTATATTTTACTCTTTACAAATCTTGCTCTTAAAAACTTTCGTGTTATGCCAAATACTTGCCAGAAACCAAAATTACCATATAAATATCACTCCTACTTATGCACTCAAATACAATACCATACAGCAATACAAACATATTCTGAACTTTCTTCTTATAACACATCTAATAATGCGGATGTAATATCAATACAGATTATCTTCACAATTTATAATAAAAAAATTCGATTGTTTAGACAATGATAACTTAATAACCAACATAGATAATATCTTAGCTGGGCCAT